TTGCTGGCTGTTTTTCTTCAGGAAATCTCTCAGCCCGCTCAAAAATATCACAAATCAAGGGCAGAAAGGAAGCGTCGTTCTGAAGATAGAATCGACGAGGAAGTCTGCGCAATCTGCAACGAAAGGGTAAGGGAAGGAAAACCTCATATCCGACATTAATTATTTCTTTTATGGGAGACAAAACGATAAATAAGCGGATTCGAAATTTCGTACAGTTTTGCAGTGCAAACGTTTACATCCGCACTAAGGAAGAAGTCAGTCCAATCGTAGGAATTAAGGCGTGGTAATAACTTGACCGAGCCAGCTGATCGGAAATCAAAAAAGAAGCTGTACTCCGGTGACAGCATTTTTTCAGCCTCGAGTTCTAACGTTGCAGCAACTATATCATGGTCTGAGCCCCAGAATGGGTCTAGGGATGACACTGACAAGGTGCTGCAACGTCTACAGAAAATAAAGTCAATTATGCTTAATCATCAGCGTCGAAAATCGACAACCTGAGTCCACATTCCAACATCCACAGCGTCGAGAATATCTTCGAGCTTTCTAGGGCCGGAACGCGGAGACTAGCGGACTTCGGGAAGATAAAAGTCACCCGCAATCAATTGATAATTAAAGCTTAAGTCGGCCGCAGCATGAAGTGCCTGCGAGAGTAAGCAATCAAATTCTCATTGGCGTTGGGAGGACGGCAGACACAGCCGACGAGTAAGGAGAACTTATTTTTAGTGCACCCTGGAGCCAGCGGCTGTCGTCTACCGCGGAAAAATGCGGGAGGTCCAGCGGCAGAAATGTAAGCGTTTGCCTGACGTAAATGCAGCTGCCGCCAGCACAGCTCTCTTGACAACCATTTCGAATGCAATTGTAGCCCAGAAGAGTGAGTCCGGTGTCAGCTACGGAAGCTGATGCTGATCTCTCATTTACTAGAACAATATCTGGACAATGAACGAACACGGTACTAAAATGTTGTCAGTAATATATACTCTCAACAGAAGTTTTTCATTGAAAATGCAGGATCGAAACTCCAGAACATTCAGTTGTAGATGATATCGGTCAAATGAAATGACAGTCATCCGCATTAGCGGTAGATGTATGCAAGGCGTTTGTTTGGTACCACAGACCTGTTCTGTCCAGACAAGCGGTATTGCTATTTGGAATAAACTACCCACGAGTGTGAAAACTCAGCAAAATTATCCTTTAAGATTATTGAGTAGCCTAAACTGAAGTCTGAAGGGATGCCTTAATTAATCAATGATTGTTGTAGCCTTAAAGGTCCAATACTTATATAGCAACATTTAGAAAGAAATAGTTCGATTAGCCATTTTGATTTCCACGCAGAAAGGGGAAACAAGTCGGCATACAGTTGCTCCAGGCAATGTAAACTCGCATACTTGAAGGAAGAATACACGCGATTAAGATCATCAGCATCGATAAAAGATTGTGGGCGCTTAACTGCTGAAAAGATACCATTAGAATATAGCAAAACAGAGGATTAAATATGGCGCTTTAGTGGACACCGCTTGTAATATGGTCCTCATTGGAAAACAAGGATCCCAATTAGACCATTTTGTCTGACTAAATAGGGATGACCTGATAAAATCAACAAAAAGAATGCGAAATTCCAGCGGATCCAGTTTAATTAAACGTTGTCTATGTGGCAACATATTAAACATCCTTAAAAGATCAAAGTAGATAACAAACACGAAACAATTACCATTACGAGATGAAGTAAGTACACTCCGAAAAAGTCTGCATGGCACGTCACTCAAGGGCGACCAGGCGAAAAGTCAAGCTGAAAGGAGGTAAAATCTTGTTTATTAATGTAAATATTCGTGCTTTTGATAGTAACTATTTTCTAAACTGCTTATCGTGAGGGGACGCTTCATGAGCACGCCGATTATTTTGAGTGCCAGAACAAGAGCCTGATTAAAATACTAAAATAATAACAGAAGTGTTCCAATAATCTGAGAAGAAATCATTTCCAAGAAAAACAGAATTATTTGCGCAACAGAGGACCAAAAGGTTTAAGTTGACTGCTCAAGTTAAACTTTGACGCACTGCGCCCCAGAAGAAAGAATTCCAACACATAGGGACCCTCGTCAGTACTTACTTGGACAAAGGCCCTAGCGAAAGTAATCAAGCATAGGACGTCAGAATAGGTATTGGGTAACCATAAAAGCCCTCTTTTCAATATGTTAAGGTGGTCTAAATTGTAAACAAGGTTCTCTTCACAGGTAAGATGACTTCGGGCGATATAGCTATTAACCTCATCGGAATCATATGTGGGCTCTTATCGTTCGCAGCTGGAATACTAAAATCAAAGACAGTGCTTCTGATTAAAAAAGCTGCAAACTGAAGTGGGAAATTTTGTGAAGGGCTTAAAACCCCAATAAAACAAACACCAAACTGAGGATTTTCATTTATTTCCCATAAAGTTCAAACCGATAAGAAAAGGTTCCACGAGGGCCTTAGGTATTGGGAGGAATCTGGATTGTGCTATGCGGTTCGATTACGTTTTCCCACTGTCTACAACAAGCAACCTCAATGGAAATTGTCTCAGAATTCGGAAGAAATTGCCATGCCTGAATATTCATCGTATAACATTTTCCAACAAGATTTTGGTATCCTTCGCATCTGGGTTAAGTGAACGTTTATTATTATTATTATTATTATTATTATTATTAAAGTCAATAGGTAACAACTAAACAGTTCGATATCCTGCTATCGTTTTGCCGTCCTGAGATATGCTAAAAAAGAAAGCGTCGTTCAGGGTTTTTAGTTTACTAATAAGTTTCCAGAATTACTTCTTATAGACCGGAAATAAGAGTTTTCCTTGGCCCATAACTAGGCATTTGTTTTATTATACCATAGCGGTAGCTCCCACATTTAATTTGGTTTGTTTGTTTTGTGAGCGTGCGGTGTTTTTTGGATTTCCCAGCTATATTTAACGTAGCACACAATTTAATTCAGTACCAGTCTCTGGCTCCGTTGAGTCTCAGCGAATCTACCGCAAAATTCCGCTCACGCGTGGTTGCTTTTGTCTACAGTCCCGACGGGACGATGAACATTATTTTTAGCACCGAAAAGTAACAATAATGCTGATTTGCCTGTTAGCATTAAAATAAGACACATTGGGCTGGGTATTCTCGGCCGAGGCGTCGACTGCGAGTACTTGCTGGAGGTCGTTTTCAGGTTTATTTAAAATATAAATTCGGATCCAGGAGTCCATAAATGGACTCACTTATTTATGTGCGTGCATGCATACTTGAATATAGAACTTGGGAGGAGTACTTAGGTTGATTTATTTTTCCTTGGCCTGGGCTAAGTAAAGAGGTCTTACATAGATACGGAACCCTGCTATCCCTCCCATCCGGGGACGCACTATTCTAATCCGAATCCAACCTTCTCTCTATGTTCACGATTTTTTTCTGGTGCTATTCTTAACAATAGGTGCGACTGTCGCGAGTTAATTGAAGTTTCCGAAAACTTTCTCGTTTGCGTGATTTCGGCCGTTACCACAATCTTACGCACTAAATTCAACCAAGCCATATGTCTACCCTTGAAGGTTTCTGCCCTGCGTCTGACCAACAATTTCGAAAAATCGAAACTGCGATTTTTGCGAAGACGCCAGCTCAGTCAAACGCATCTTCTGCTACAATGGCGTCCATACCTGACACTGGCGATTCCGCCAACTTCCTCCAGGTAAAGGAAAGGTGGCCGTAATTTAATCCTTCAATACAGTCCTTTTTACTTTCGCCAAATAACATAGCGTTGCCAAGGTCCGTTATCGGGTACACGTTCGACAGTCAGCAAACTTGTTTGGTAAAGTCATTTCACAATGTTGCAATGAATTCTCTGATATGCTTACATTGCGCGAATGAAGAAGGACTATCGAATTTCGCTGTCCTGAACCTCTTAGTCATTACAAGTACCCATTTCCGAAACCCCAAGAGACATATAGCCACTAGTACTCAGACAGTAGCCACAATCGAAATCGACTCGGCTACATACTTATTCTAACACACTTGCCAACTAGGTGCCACACTCCTATGCAGTGTAAAATGCAGATGCCGGCGTTTAGATGTTGCCCTATTTAGGCCTGAGACTATGGTCTCTTCAAGAATAGCTCAGCTGTCACAATTTTCGTCTGCCTGACTTCAACTGATTCAATGTTCTCAGGTGTTTTCGGCTGAAAGCCATTGTCTTAGACTGCTGCATACTCCAAAGGACCTTGTTAGGCCGCGGGGAGTGTTGCCACAAACATAAGTTTTCTTACAACCAGTGCAAAAGCTACAAGTCCCCCTTCAGACAATCCGATTTCCGGGGATTCGCGTTGTGAGACCAAAATAATCAAAGTGCCTGGAATATCAAATGCCAACGGAGAAGCCAGGAAGGGGGCACAGCAGGCTAGATTTGAGCCAGTTGCATAATTGATAAAGATGCGCTGGTAGCCCCATTGACAGACACAAGTATCTAGTATGAGAGACGGTTTGATGAGCTTCTGAAGCGGACGGATTAGGCCACTAAGCTATCACCCAGTGTTAAGACACATTGACACCGGGGTATATCGGCGACTGTAACTGTCTGACAGGGCGGCGTTTTGTTGTTCAATTTGTTCAATTACTTTATAAGCTGGTTTCGTCATAACGCATTGACAGATCACCCCGACGTTGCGGCACGTTGTGGTCCTTGAATTACGGATCCTGACTACTCAGGTGACATTGAGATGCAGTTCGGTATCTTTGCTGGCATGCTACCCACAATTGCCCAGGCAGGAGTTAAAGCAGCCGCAGTGAACCTGAAAGTGCACTCATCCAAAACTTAGGTTTCGTGGTTACACACATCTCCTTGGTCACGGTAGGCGATGGAAATCTTCTTAACGAACAGCCAATGGAATCTAGGGTCAAACGGACGGCATAATATGAAACAGGCTATCGATTCAACCAGCCATGCTTGACCTTCGTTCTTACTTGCTTGTACTTGATACGGCTGCGATCATGCCGGATCTAGCCGGCCTCGATGATGTCTCGAATTGTACCTCTCCACGCGTGACGATCCGCGGCAGCAGATCTAGACAGCTCAACCCATTCCCTTCGCCAACGACGGAGACCGAATACCGAAGGTCCAATAACCACCTCCATGTCTTGACGGACAGTGTCGAGCCAGGTTTTGAACTGACCCCCTCTTCGACGCCTCCAATGGGACAACGGTGCCGGATCGAGGGCAGTAACACTGAGCTCCTGAGGTGGACGACGAAGAACATGCCCGAACCACCTCAGTCGTCTTTCTTGGATGGCCTGAGTTGTCCTCGCGATGTTGTCGCAGCGAGCGCGGACTATCTCATTTGAGACGAAGTCGGTGAACTTCACTCGAAGGATGATCCTCAAGCAGTGGTGGTCAAATACCTCCAGTTTTCGCTCATCCGCCACGCGCAAAGCCCAGCATTCGCAACCGTAGAGAAGGACAGACCAGACAGATGCACGGTACACGCGAATCTTAGTGGCGATGGAGAGGTCACGTCGGTTCCACAGGCATTTCCGAAGGCTTGAAAAAACCCAGCGGGCAGCATCGATTCGGGAGACAATGTCGTCCTTACTCTGTCCATTAGGCAGCAGCCGCGCCCGAGGTATTTAAAACTGTCCACTTCTTTAAGTTGACAGCCATCAATCCCCAGGGGTGCCTTCTCCTGGTCAGGGATGCAGCTTGAGAATACTTTGGTCTTCCCAGCGTTTATGGACAAACCGACTGATTTAGCGACCTCGTTCAGCCGTGACACCATAGACTGCAGATCACCAAAACGTGAAGCAAGTAAGGCGATATCATCGGCATAGTCGAGATCAGTCAGTCGATGTCCGGGTGCAAATTCAACGCCGTCACTCTCGCGTAGGGCCCTCCCGAGGATCCAGTCAATAGCGTAGTTGAACAGTATGGGTGACAGGATACAACCCTGTCGGACGCCAGACCGAATACCGAACGGTTGGGAAAGATTGTTACGGACCAGGACTGTCGCAGTAGTGGAACGATAGTAGGCCTTGATCATGGCGATGATTTTTGCGGCGGCAAAGTCAACGAAGCAGATGGCCGTCGGTTGTTGGTAGCGATGGCGAAATTCGAGAATGCGCCTCAGTGTGAATAGCTGATCTGCGCATCCACGTCCAGCACGAAATCCGGCTTGGTTGGGCCTCGTCCTTGAGTCACGCACAGCCTGGAATCGCCTGAGTAGGACAATAGCGAAGATCTTCGCAGCAACGTCGATGAGACTTATGCCGCGGTAGTTCTCGCATCTCGTCTTATCTCCCTTCTTGAGAATAGGTACAAGGATGCCTAAGCCCCAGTCATCAGGAACAACCTCGTCTGTCCACGCTCTTTCAATCACCTCATGGAGCCAGGGCGCCAGAGTTTCGACACAAGACTTGAAGATTTCAGCGGGTATACCGTCCTCTCCGGGTGCCTTATTGTTGCGCAACTTTCGTATGGCATCGGCGACTTCTTCCTCGGAGGGGGGATCGCATGGCACTGCATAGGTAGGAGAGGGAAGAAACTCCGCTGAGGAGGAGAACAAGGGCGATGTAGGTTGGGTATCGAAGTTGAGATGGCGCTCAAAGGGCTCACGCCAGCGCTCGACTTTGGCCGAGTTGTCAGCAATAAAGCCGCCGTTCACATCGCGAACAGAGTCACTCAGTGTAGAGGGCTTACCGCTAACTTGGCGGATCAGACGGTAGAGCTTTCGAGTGTCACCAACGGTCGAGGCCTGTTCCATGGATGTCGCTATTTCAGCCCAATATTGTTTCCGGTCATCCCTGGCCGATTTTGCCGTCATCTTCCGAAGTTGGCGGAAGTAGTCATCGTTGCGGGACCTGGCTCTAGCCGTCTGAGCAGACAACTGCGGGGTTTTTCCGCCGATCCAGTCACTGCGGCGTCGCTGGGTGTATCCAAGGATTTTCTCAGCTGCCCCATAGACTGATGTCTTTAGTGAAGACCACTGGTTACTGACTTCTCCGTCGGCTCGGGCCGTAAAACAGGTCCGGATTTCTCTGCTTAGGGCCTCGGCAGTGCTGGCTTGCCGGAGTTTTGCAACATTGAGGCGTCTAGGACGTGGCATTTTTTGTGCGGATGAGAGATGAACTTTCAGGCGTGTACGGACGAGGACATGGCCCGACCCATGGGCGTTAACAGTCTTGGTACCACGCATCGATCTGCTATCGTGAACCCCGCTGCGAAACCTTGAGCTGACTAGTATGTAGTCAATCTGACTGGCCGTACGACCGTCGTTTGAATACCAGGTCAGCAGATGTTTTTTGCGATGCTGGAAGCATGTGTTGGTGATAAGCGGTCGGTTTCGATCAGCGAAGTTCAGCAATCTCTCACCATTTTCACATCGGGAACCAAGCCCAAAGCGGCCAAGAAGATGACTGGTTGTGGGGTCGCCAGGTCCAGTTCGACCATTCCAATCGCCAGCAACAATCAGCAGATCGCGGCGAGGCAGTCTTTCAACTAGCGCTTGCAACTGAGAGTAAAACGCCTCTTTATCGCGCTGGTCGGCAGCCGAAGTTGGTGCGTACACAGCGACGATGGAGATGTTCGTGAAGTGACCCTTCAGTCGCACGTAGGCCATCCGGTCATTTACTGGTTCCCAAGCAAGTAGCGCAAGGTCCGCTTGTTGTGATAGGGCGATCGCCACACCGTGTCGACCAAAGGAATCGCGGGGGCCGCTGTGGTACAGGGTGAAGTGGGATTCGACTCCCGGGATCTTTATTTCACGAGAGCCCGAGTCAGGGAGTCGTACCTCGGACAGACAGCAGACATCCACGTTGTACTGATGAAGGCTGCGTGCGGTCAGACTTTGGGTACCAGGGTCCAGGAACGTTCGTACATTCCAGCATCCAATGCCGAGAGTCCGTCCACGATTGAGTAGTCCAGCTCGAATACTATTCGCCCGCACCACTGGACCAGGGTTGCGGAGCGCGTCGGTTCCCGCGGACGCCGTAGCATGGGTCGTAGTACTGTGATCGGACATGTTGCATGAGGTTTCTTGGGAATTTCGAATACAAGCGGGTCCCCAACAGCGCGCGGATTGTTTGTTCGAGGTTGTCTCCTCTAGCGCTTTGGCTTAAAAACCTAACCACAAGGCAGCGGTGGCAAGTAAACTTATTTAATGGCGGTTTACGGTCGCCATGTCACAATGCCGTCATTGGGCTTTGCGGCGTTTTATAAGGCTTTCAGCGTGCCAGACTTCAGCCCACCGCACCCTGGTAGCAATGTCGCTGCTGGTCCGCGACTGCTTATTCGTCAGACCTGGGTCTGCTTATTTCGCAGCTAACCTTCACCTGTGGACGCGCCGGGTAGCCAGCAGCTAGGCTAACGGGCAACCCGTCTTCCCGGGACCTTCGTGCGGGTTTGCCTTAAACTACTATGAGCGGTGTACGATCAGTTAGATGACAAAGTAATACACAGAGAATCCTTCCACGACACCTATGTCCAGGATACAGCCATCACTTTACTTTACGGTGTTCGAAAAGTATACTTATAATCGCACTCGGCCTTAGCCGTCAGATAGGAATGCCTTTCTCAGATGCATGGCCCACTTTTTCCCGTAATGCAAATTTGAGTAAGCTTTTAAGATTTCTGTACTGGTTTTCAAGAGCTACCTTTAGGATTAAAACTCGGCAACTGCATCTTCCGTACTCGCCGACTGAAGTGGTTCGACAATGGGTTAAGTGTGCTCAACATTCCTGCCTGAAGTCTGTTACCGTTCTCGCAAACAAACTTGACCCTGGGTACAATTGATTTCGATCCGATAACTAACGTTAGGTCTTTACCCGATGGACCTAGGACGAATTTTCATTGACGACCTGTGTGACACTCCGACCCTCCCCCCCCGGTTTGTGTCGTCACCAGGTTTTTCATAGTGGCTTTCTCGACAATACTGCCGGCACATTCGTTGATTTTGAAGGGCTTTCGGAAATGTCGAGCTTTTTCCTTCTTGTCTGGCCCTCAACAATCCTGCCCCCAACGGCAATAAAACCTTGTGCAGTATGGTGGGGGTGCTACGGCAGCCTGCAAAAGAGGGAGCACTCGTCACCATTCTGTCTGCTGTACTTTTGAGCTCATTGCGTTCTCTGCGTATGAGATCCTAGGGACGGTAACGGACTGCATTTATCTTCCCCCAACGTCGTCCGGATTTCGGAGGTTAAACCAATTGTCAGATCATTTCCAGTTTGTTGCTAGCAAATATTTAAAGCAGGCCTAAATTCCAAAAACACACAACCTTTTTGTCTTCAAATATTTCCCAACAGCCGTGTTTAGTCTTATTTGATTTGTTTGATCTTTTGTCTGATGACTTCATATCGCCTTCCCTCTCCGATCACCTTCACTCCCAGGGCCTTGAGAACGCGTTCGCTGCCTCAGACAGGCTGGCATTTGAGCAAATCCTCTACGAACGAATTCGAGAGGTTGCGCTTGCTGTGTGCCAACCAAAGGTGGCAACCGCTGAGGAGGCTGCTTCTCTCAGCCGTAGCACCAACGAGACCTCCAGTGAGGCCGAACTTCTGGAGTACAACACTCTGCTTACCTCACTTTTTCCCGACTTCGAGGCATTTTTGGCGCGATCGAAGTGCGACAAGCCAACAAAGGCGGCAGCCTCTGCTGCCGTCACGGCCACCACTGCATCTGCCACCGCCGTCCCTGAACAGTCATCATTGCCCAATGCTGATCCTCTAACTGCTCTGAACGCTCGTCTGACCGCTGTTGGTCCCAAAGTGCGCACGCCATGTGGTCGGGTGTTCAAGGCGCTGGAGCCAACCTTTCGATGCAAGTGCGTCACCTCCGTTGTCTCATTCTCTCCCTGCCATTTTTAGGCTCCTTCAATCCTAATCTGGCTTCTCCGTGCTCTGTGGTCATCGGTCTTCTGATAGAACTCTTTGCTCATGTTCGACACCTCTAACACCCCGCGCATTATTTTGTCGCTGGGATCCTTTTGTCTCATTAACTGGACCCTAGTGGGATTATTAGTGCCAAGTAGCCTACGCCATAGCCCATTCGAGAGGACTTGACGGTCCTTGTTGATGGTCCTGCGACGTACGAACTGGGCATAGTCTTCCCGTCCCTACTCACATTTCATTTTCATGGGCCGTAGGTCTCTGTTGTCAACAGTTTCACACGCCTGTATGTATGCTGACGTTGTTACCATCGAATCGCTTGACTTGCCTTAAGTTTTTTTTGTTAAATTTTTTAATAGGGGGTTTTTAGCAGATTTGAATAAATCATTTAAGTCATTTGTGAAAACATCGGCGGATCCGGAGGGATTCGAACCCACGACCCAGTTCGAATCCCACCAAGGCTACCGAGTTTTTCGCAACTAGGTCTATTGGCATTCATCTACAGCTGATAAAACTCACTGCTCATGTTTGGCACCCCCAACACCCCGTGCATTATAGCGCCCCTATGATCTTTTTGCCCATTTTATGGACCTTAGTGGCATTGCTAGTGTTAAGGAACCCTCCACACTAAGAACAACACTTTCGGCTGCGCAACTAGATCTAGGACAACTGTCAACATTGGGAATTGCTTGATTATGAGGCGACAAGTTTGTGAACATTTTGCTTATTAAGTTTACTTAGGCACGTGGTCTGCAGAAAAGGGCCTTTTTCTGAAGGGGCCAGTCGAATAAACAAAGTGCTCAACGTCTTGGGTGCCTAAAACTGATCATCTCCGTTCCCGTCATCACATTATATGAGTTAGGTCACCTACTGTAGTTTGCCTCAATATCGCGATTAGTGCTACCACGTGCGATGATCAGCGACAACTGGTCTGGAGAGCTCGACCAACCCCCTGAAGTCCATCAGTGTGCATGAAAACAGTCTCATTTGAGGCGTTGTCTGCACGGTAGTCGAGGTCATCCAGCAAGAGGCTATAAACATTCAACACAGCAGCTTCCGCAGTAGTTAACTGAACACGCCTTGTCGTCTTGCAGTTTCATGCCGCGCCCTGTTGAGCGTTCCTAATGGTCCTCTACTGAGTCAGCTCTTGAGGAACCGCCCCCAGATTCCGAGTCCCGAACGGAGTATCTTTCTTGCTATGCCAATGAGTTTTCCTTTTGGCGGACGCACTTGATTAATTCAAATCTTTTTTTTTTATTATCTCCTGCACTTCTTTCCGTTTTTTTTTCCAGAGACTGTTCCACTGATCCCACCTGCGCTTTCTGCAGAACCTGCTTCTTCGCAAGTATCCACGCAACACACAAATACAAGGTAATCCCAATGCCCACTGGTTTTTTGGCTCTATTTTTGGAGTTTTGGCAGGCACAGTCCCGAATCGGAGTTAGAGCAACCGGACGTTTGCGTACGTGTACTGTCGGACTTGTTACTCACAAGGGGTCAGCTGATAGTGAGCAAGGTCAAAGGCGAGGACGTAGGGCCAAATACCAGACATAATCCTGATCACCGGCTGTTAGTCCCTGACCAATCATAACTCTAGGGCGCACACTGGACCACCTGGGAAGTCATGCACTTGCAGGCTATAAAGCAAGCTCGCACTATCCCACCCGAGCACTGTATACCGATCAGCGCTGCCTTGTAAACCGCCTTCACGCATGCGGAACAGCATTCCAGTGACGGTACCAGACCTATCTTGCAGGCCACGTGATAAGTAGGCTGATTGCAGGCTCACAGCTGTTTCCGCCTCTGTTCCTTGCACGTCACGCCATCTTAAGGGCAAAGACGCGACCATGGCGCTGCCTGTGGCGATGCTCCTGCGTCGACCTCGACCAGCAACTGACAGTCGAGCGACGTGACACGCATTCAGAGGGGCCGTTGGTCGTCTTTTTATAGCTCTCGTGCCCTGCGCCCGTCACGTGCTCTTGGCTACTGACGCCACCATTTTGCACTCTTTCCGCCAGATCCGTCGGGCATGCCGGGTCCTCGGTATATATGATGACTGACGTCTCTAATATCTGCGCGTTAAAGCCAAGAGAGGGGGGGGGAATTGCCAACTTTTTTGAAATAGGATGTAATCCGAACGCGCGTATTCCTTTCGGCAATCAAGTCCAATCGGTGACCGTCACGTACACTACTGACCGTATCCATCCAATTTTGGACCTGTGGACCACTGACAGACCTTTATCTGGGTTGGGGACGAAGATATTGTCGGTAGTCGAGTAGTGTACCGCCACACCACGTGAGATATTTAAACAGACTGGGGTCCTTGTCTTGCTGCGGAGATGAATAATTTTAGTACTAATGTACCCCTCACTGGTGATTGTTAAAACAGCATATAAGGGTGCACCGTCTTGCTGATCCGAAAAAGTGATCAGACGGCAGTCCAGTGCGCCATAGGACCGAGAGAATTGACCAAATTCGATTATGCGGATGAGGAAGTCACCATTGCCAAATACGATTTCGCCGAAACATTGTTTCCCCGTCTTTTCTAATCATTTATCGTCAGGCGCAAACGACGTCGACAGCCTGTTGTGCGTGGAGTCCTGGTGTGTGCCTTTGGGACGGCAGGTCGTGCATGTGGCGCGCACAGACGAGCCCACTAACTCTGTCAGCCGCTGCGCCCATTTCCCGAACCGCATGTCTGACCGGCGCGGACAGTGGTTGGGGCCTGGGTAGGGGGCTAAAGGGTGACGTTAACGAGTCAGTGCACTTTCCGCTCTACAAACAACCTGACGCGTTTGAAGATATCACGGTGCGCTAAAAGCTTTGGCTTGAAAGACTATCAACTAACGAGATAACTCGGACCTCGCGGTCAGCCGGGTCTGTGTTTGTGGAGCGGCAGACTGGTGAACGGAGAGAGTCAGGCTGCAATGGCCCTTTCTTAATGTAGCCTCTGTTGGATCCAAGCTGGGTGCGGCGGAACGCCTAGGGGCGGCTCCGGCCGCGCCATGCACCTACGACCTCCCCCGCCTTCTTGCCTATGTCTTGACACCGGGCCCAGGTGGTGGAGGAATGAGCGGGGTGGATGCTGCGCAAGTCTACCATCAGTGTAAACTAATTTACGCCCAAGTCACCGTCCCTG